GGGCGGGCCGGAGAGTGACCCCGGTTACTTATCATACACGGTCTCGGTCGGAGTCGGGTGCCCCCCGCTGGAGAGTTGGGACTCCTGACGACGAGTCGCCGCCGCCGGAGCGAGCCACCAGTCCGACTCTGATCCCGACTCCAACGACCCATTGTTCCCGACCCCGACCCCCGGGCCCCGGCCCTCATTTATGTTTTCCCAAATGATTTTTATTTGCATGCACGGCGGAATGCGCTCACTCCAAAAATACATGCTTATTCCCCCGGGGCCCCGGTCCCAATCCGCCTTGTCGCCCGAGATTATAGATTGCGACGCTCGCCGTCCCGGTCACCGTCCCTGTGTGATGGATAGCCGACGGAACGGTGGGAAGCCCCGCCCCTTGGCTCCTACGCGGTTCATCCCTTTGATATTAGAAGTATGGATATTGGGCCCCATAGAGACCCTTAAGAACTAAAAATTAGCGACCCGTCAATGGAAGGGGTTGTTGCCAGTTTTCATTTTTGCATGGCTCTCTTCACTATCATGACTGTGTCGCCAAGGGGCCAGTGGAGGAGTCTCTATTTGTCTCTATTATGAGTTATCGGAGACTCTAGTTTCCGCACATTTACCTAACGTTCGCATCGAAATAACCTGAGGCGACCTGAGGTTGGAGACTTCTTTCATTAAATTTTCCGCACTCAGATGCAACTGACCTCTTTCATTATTGCACTCATGTCTGATTATTGAAATTAATAGACAAATCAATTGACAAAGAAGGCAAAGTGAGTATGGATAGATCATATTTGTTGAAATGTTTGGTTCCTATAGACAAAGGGAGAAAATGATGGACTAGGGTCTCTCGTGGGTTTCCGTCAGTTAGTCCATTACCTACCTCCTTTTTCGTTTCCACCAATAGGATCGTTCCATATCTCTTTTTTTCTATCTTCAAAAATTGGCCCGCTGCGGGCTGATTATTGAAATTGATAGACAAAGCGATAGACGAAAACGACACATCGAAAATGAAGCGACTCTATTGGTGGAAGCGGGTGGTTGCAATGGATCGAGGAGGTAGGTAATAGACTGATTCACGGCAACCCACGAGAGACTTTATACTTACAATTAGTCCGTCCTTTTCTCCCTTAGTCCATAGGAACCGGAGCCACCCATGTCAACTAATAGGATCGCTCCATACTCCCTATGTCTTCCTCGCCTATAGCTTCTTCAATCAAATTCAATAATTGACTCGCAGTGGAAGGGTCTCTATTTGTCAGTATTGCGGGTTATCGGCGGCTCCAGTTTTCGCACGTTGAACGTTTGCATGGGAAGGACGTGACGGGCCGTTAGACCTGAGGGAGCTTTCCCGGTCGGCGCGGAGGGACCGTTGCGTTGACGGGTGGGATCGCTCGGCGGCTCCCGTTAGATTTATGTAACGAGCCGGACCCCGGTCTCCGGTCCCGATCGGCCTCATCGCAATACGCCGCCGCCGCCGCCGCAATCGCCGCGCAATACGCAATGCGGAATGTGGGATCCCGTGCGCCGGCCGCGCCGCGCATACCGGAGCGCTCCGCGGCCTCGCCGGGGGTTGAGTGTCCAGCGCCACCGGTGAATGGTGAGTGGCGAGTGGTGACAAGCGGGAGTGTGACCGTTGCCTGCCTAGTGGGAGAGCGCTGGCAACGCAATTACTCCGGCGATTGAGATGCGGATGCCTCTTGGTCAGGAAGGAATTGAGACCCACTACTTGTGTCCTGGCGATAATGTTGGAAACTTTTACTTTCGAATTACCAACTCGTGTTTCGTGACGGAAAGTTTGAAGGAAGTAGGATTGGTACGGAAGGGGTGTGAAGGGCTATTTTGTTATTTATTGCAGAGGTAGGCTTAGGAACATCGTATTGGTTCGAATTTGCGTGTCTTGCAACAAAAAAAAAAAAAAA